GCAACTTTACAGATGGTACAACACTGTAAGGAGTAATACTCCAGAAGATTGTGCTGACATTCAGGTAGACCTCAACTGGCTGAAAAACTAGCAAACAGGAACCTCATGAAAGTCAATACAGGTCAAAGCCGCCAAGCTCTGCATATGGAGAGGAATGACTCCTGACATCAGCACATACTGGGAGCAAAAGAGCAGGATAACAGAAAACTACCTGAGGTCCTGGTAGACAGAGGATTCACTCTAAGCCGGAAATAAGCCCTTAGGGCAAAGAAGGCAAACAATATCCTAGATAACATGAGAAGTGCATTGCCAACAGGTGCAGGGAATTGAGTCTTCCTCACTACTCACCACTGGTGAGACAAACTGGGGATTTGAGTCCAGTTCTGGGCCTATTGGAGCAGTTCTGGAAAAGTGACACAAAGTTGACTAAGGGATTGGACCACATCATAAGAGGCTGAGAAAGATGGCATTGTTCATCTCAAAGACAGAAAGTTAAGGGTGGGGAAATCTTTCCAACATGCATAAATACTCAATTTGGGGGTTGGGGGAGTAACAAAGACAGAGCCAGATTTTTAAAACAGTGCCCTGTAACAGAAGAAGACACAGTGTATACAAACTGAAATTCGGCAAATTCTGTTTCTACTTATGAGAAAACTTTTCTACTCTGAGAGAGGTAAAATACTAGCAAAATTTACCGAGAAAGACTGAAGGGCAACAAGAAAAGCTTCTATATATACATCAGTGATAAACAGAAAACTAGGAAAAATGTGGACTTTCTCCAGAAAGAAATGGGAAACCTGGTAACCCAGGACTTGCAGAAGGCTGAGGTACTCAATGATATTTTTGCCTCAGTTTTTACCAGCAAGTGCCCCAGCCACACAGTTTGAGTTGAAGAACACAAAGGGAGGGACTTGGACAATGAAGAACTGCCTACTGTAGGAGAAGATCAGGTTCAAGACCACTTAGGGAACCTGAAGGTGTACAAGTCCACAGGACCAAATGAGATGTATCCATGGGTCCTGAGGGAACCAGTGAAGGAAATTACTAAGCCATTACCTATCACATTTAAGAAATCCTGGCAATCCAGTGAAGCTCCTAATGACTAGAAAAGGGAAAACATAACCCCCATTTTTAAAAAAGTATAAAAGGGAGATCTGGGGAACTACAAGTCTGAATATCACCATGGTGCCTTGCAAGATCATGGAGCAGATCCTCCTGGAAACTATGCTAAAGTATGTATGGCTTCACTAAGGACAAGTTGTGCATGACAAATCTGGGGGCCTTCTATGACAGGGTTACAGTGTTAGTGGATAAGGGAAGAGCTCTGTCCTGCACAGCATCCTTATCTCTAAAGTGGAAAGAAATGGATTTGAGAGATGGACCACTCAGCAGGATAAGGAAATAGCTGAATGCTCTCACTCAAAGAACTGTCAATAGATCAGTGTCGAAGTGGCAAATGGTATTCCTTGGGATTGGAGCAGGCACTGCTTAACAGCTTTGTTGCCAACGTGAACAGCGGGACTGAGTGCACCCTCAGTAAGTTTGTGATGACACCAACCCGTGTGGCTGTAGTAAGTTGACCCTGGCTGGACGTGAGGTATCCACTAAAGCCGCTTTTTCACTCTCCCTCTGCAACTGGACAGAGGAGAGAGGAAAAAAAACAGCTAAGGATTCATGAGTTGAGATAACAGTTGGGAGAAGTCACTTACTGATTACCTTCACAGGCAAAACAGACTCAAAGTGGGAATGGTACTTAAATTTATTACTAACAGGATAAGAGCCAAAGAGTGAGAAAAAAACAGTCTTAAAAATACTTTCCCCTGCCCCTCCTCCCCTCCCAGCGGTGCAAGGGGACAGGGAATGGGGGTTGCAGTCAGTTGTTGTTTCTGCTGCTGCTCAGGGAGAGGAGTCCTTCCCCTGCTTCCGTGGGGTCCCTCCCATGGGAGACAGTCCTTGATGGACCTCTCTGGTGTGAGTCCATCCCTCAGGCAGCAGTTCTTCCCAAACTGCTGTCCCATGGGTCACTCCTCCATGGAGTGCCGTCCTTTACAAATGAGATGTACTGATGTGGGTCCTCCACAGGGGCCACAAGTCCTACCCGGAAGAAACCTGCTCCAGCGTGGGCTCCCCTCTCCAAGGGCTGCAGGTCTCTGGCAGGACCCTACTCCATCCTGGGCCTCTCACAGGGTCACAGCCTCCTTCATGCACCTGCTCCAGCATGGGCTCCTCCATGGGCTGCAGGGGGGTCTCTGCACCCCGATGTCCCTCCCTGGGCTGCAGGGGCACAGCTGCCCCACCATGGGCTGCCCCACAGGCTGCAGGGCCTCAGCTCTGGCACCTGGAGCACTTCCTGCCCCTCCTTCTGCACTGACCTTGGTGTCTGTATTGTTGTTCTCATGTTCTCACTCTGCTCTTCCCTGGATGGAATTCTTTCTGCGCCACAACCTTCTGTTCTTAAAGATGTTATCACAGAGGCATTACTGTTACTCCTGATTGGTTTGGCCTTGGCCAGCAGCAGGAAGTCCATCCTGGAGCCGGCTGGCATTGGCTCCACAGGACAGGAGCTGCTTCTAGCAGCTTCTAACAGAAGCCACCCCTGTAGCCCCACCCCTGCTACCAAAACCCAGCCACAAAAATCCACTACAGTAGTGTAGTCTACATGTTGTAGGGAAGGGATGGCACCCCCAGGAACACTGACAAACTTGAGAGCTGGACCCATGCAAACAGCTCGAAGTTCAACAAAGCTAAGGGCAAGGTCCTACATGAAGGTCAGCGTAACTCCAAGAACAAACCCAGGCTGGACAGAGAACTGATTGAGAGCAGACCTGTGGACAAGGACTTGTGTTGGTTGATGAGAATCTCTACATGACTCAGCAATGTGTGCTTGCAGCCCAGAAAAACAACTGTATCTTGGGTTGCATTACAAGAAGAGCAGCCAGCAGGTCCAGGAAGGTGATTCTGCCCCTCTACACTGCACTTGTAAGACACCACTGAGTATCCAGTTTGGGAGTCCTTGGCACAAGAAAGATGTGGCTCTGTTGGAGTAGTTCCCAAGGAGGGTCACAAAGATGATTAGAGGGCTGGAACACCTCTCCTGTGAAGACTAGCTGAGAGAATTGGGGCTGTTCATCCCAGAGAAAAGAATGCCCAAGAGAGACTTCTTACTAGCCTTCTAGAAACTAAGGGAATCTACAAGAGAGTTGGAGAGGGACTTTTATACAAGGGCATGTAGTGGTAGGGCAATGGGGACTGGCATCAAACGGAAAAAGAGTAGGTTTAGATTACTTATTTGGAAGAAATTCTTTACTGTGAGGATGGTGAGGCACTGGAACAGGTTGTTAAACAGCGGAGGTGCAGATGCCCCATCCCTGCAAGTATTCAAGGCCAGGTTCCATAGCGCTCTGAGCAACCTGGTCTAGTGGTTAGATGTCCCTGTCCATGGCAAGGGGGTTAGAACTAGATGGTCTACACTGAACTACATGACAACATGTAACTTTTAAGGCTTCAAGAAAACAAAGACAACCACAAAATGAAATAAAAAAAAATAATTCAAGTGTCCTTGATACAGACTGCAAACCTCATAACAGTAAATATTTGTAACATCAGATAGGAAAATACTTACATTCTTCCATCATTATCAATTGCTCAGTTTTATTTAATAATTAGGCTTAGCTCCACATAACTAAATAAGGCAGCAATAACCACAAGACCATCTTTGCACCAGAAGGTCAAGTAAACATTGTAAAGAATATAATTCAAACAGTCACAGTATTATTGAAGGGGACTTCAGACCATGCTTTCTGGCATATTTATCAAACTTCATGGCAAGAAGACAGACAAACATATTTAAATGTCACTGTTTCTTCAAGTCTAACAGGAATTAAGATATGCTTGTGTTTATACACAAAATGAACTCTATTTATTTTATAACATATTTTAATATAACATTATCTTTGTCACTTAAACAATGAGATTTTTGGATCTCTGAGCTGAATAAACAAAATACAACACACACTGACCTAACAGTATTTTCTTAAAGTAGATGATCTACTCACAAGGAAGGAACATGTTCCTGAAGACTCTGTCAAATATTAGAGGATGCTGAAAGCTCTGAATTTAGTAACTTTTTGAAATTTCATGAATAGGCAAACTGTAGAGAGAGCAATCAACCTTTTCATCCAAGCTACATTTAATTTTAAAATTACTGTTTCCTGATTAGACATATTTAATGGGGGCAGCAGATCACTCTTGTCTTAGTAAAGATATGCAATTAGATCTACATTGAGACACGATGGATTTATGGAATGCTTTTTCCACACAGAATATATACGGCAATAAGATTTAGGTTAATCATCGTATCCTGACATTTACAGAAAACTGAGGCCTGGATGATACTTGTTCAAAGTTCAGCTGCTAACACAAGATGCTCACCCAGCAAATCTTTAAAGAGTAGACTGGACTTGTCAGAAAGAGCTTTAGATATACTTTTAATCTGTCTTGAAACTGGGAATGGATTTCATGACTGCCTGCAGTCACTTCTCACACATTTTGTATTCTAACACCTTATATATTTCAACAGTTTATGATGAGAGAGGGAGGTTGTTTTTTTTTTAATACTTGTTTAGTACTGAATTAGTACTTTCTCTGTTTTAAACTTTCATGAATTTCACAAGAAGGGCTGCCAGATAAACTGTAAACCATTATTTACTAATAAAAAGAGCCAAGGTTTTTTGAAAAGGAATTAGCAAATACTTGTAGATTTAACCTATCTACTTCTTTTCCAGACTGAATTAAACTCTTTTCATTCAAGTAAAGATGGGAAAAATTAGTCTAGATAAAATCAAAATGTCATCAAACTAGTTAAAACAGTAAAGCACATAAAGATGATGAAAATTAGAAGCTCTTATCAAAGGCTTCACAATGTTGGAATTGCTATGTAATAAAGAATAAAGATAACTAAAGTAATGACCAAGGTGATACAAATAAATGTTTCATCTTACTTGTCCAGGGCTGTGCTGGTAGGCATGCTCCTGCCAAATCCTCGGACACCCATCTGACAAAAGTATGGAATGCAAGACAAATTGGCAGCAATTATAGCCAATGAATCTGATGCGTTCACAAAGAAACCATTTTGGCCAAGAATCATGTAGCGGTCCTGGAGAAGAAAAGAAATTCAAAAAGTATTACAATTCCATGTATTGTGGAGCTGTAATTTCTTTTGCTAGATCACTGCAGGTAGAGAAAAAAAGGGACAGGCCTTGGCTTACTCACATCCCTCTTTGGGTAGAATAATTCACTGGCATCATCCTGGCAGGTTTACAATCTCACTATCGCACCATCACTCCCGCCTGCCTTGCAAATCAAAGTTCCAGATCAGTCTCTAGCTCCAGCTGCCTACATGTCACGTCAGTAGTTCTGTTCCTGCCAAGGGAATGCTTGTGTAGGAGAATCTTTTTGCCAATGACACGCACTATTAGGTGAGTAGGAGAGTGTTTTGTGTTTACTGACAATAGAAAACAGCTTCTGTTCTTCAGAACCTTTTCGACCTTCTCCCACCTTGTCAGGGCAAAAGTTTCTGTAATACTTTGCTGTTTATAATGCTGATAATATGACATTAAAATTAAAATAAACAGTAATTATGATTCAATGCTTTATTTAGCTAAAAATCCCTTAATTTATGATACTAACCAAAATGGACATAACGTTTTTAGGTCTTAGTGTGGCAAATCCACATTATGTATATATGCTGTGTCTTTCTAACCAGGAAATAAGAGTGTTACACCAATACAAGAGTAAACCTGATATTTAAATAATTCTTATTCTGCCTTGAAATCCTGCTTGATTTGCAACCATCTGCAGAGGTAAATTGCAACATATGTGTCTGATTGATGGGCTGCAAATTCTACCATCTGTACCTGAAACTAATACCACTTTCAGCTTAAATCAGTTACTGAAAAGCAAATAAATTATACTTACATGTCCCATATTTGACCTCGAACAAAACAGCAGCAGTGAAACCTCAAGACATATCAAAATACTTACTCCATCAGCATCAAAAGCTGCTCCAAATCCATACTCTCCACCTTTCATAGCCTCCAGCAAGGCAGTTGCATACGTTAAATTTGGATCAGGACGCTGTCCACCAAAATCCTCCAGAGGAATACAGTTTATGGCAGAATTTGCAGGAGCTCCCAACTCATCACACAAGATTCTTCTCACATAAGGTCCCATAACTGCAAAAACAGAAATCTGCCATGCAATCACAAAAGCGTATGCTTGACATTGAAATTTTTCACAGCACTGTGGAGAGGTGATATAAAACATACTTTACATAGCAATTCTATACATCTGTCCTAACAACAAAACCCAAACTCTTATTTCACAGAGAAGTATGTGATTGTTCTTCCAGTAAAAAATTAATTTGTAATTCAGTATAAAAAAACCAGTTCACCACTACAGGAAGTGAAAAAGTAAACACTGAATGGGAAAAGATGCACTTTTTATTTATCCATTATTAAGTAAAGAAATTATCATATGTATGAAGGGTTTTTTCTCACCAGCATAAAATTCAAATGTTATTCTTTGTGTCCTGGGACGCAAACAACAGTTTACCACATAATAGCACAAAAAGTAAACAGCAGGGGAATGCAGATGGGAAATACACCTACCTTAACATTCCAATTCATGTGAAAATTGCAATAGATTTGGACACCAAAGAATTTCAGTATATTTTAGTTGCTACCATGCAGATAATGAATAAAAACTTTTGCAAAACTAACTCCAAAATACTTCTTTTTTTTGTTAAAGATAAGGCCAATTAAGATCCCAGTTTGTGTTATTATATATCAAAATTATTATATGCATTTGGTGACTAATCAGTCACTAACTGAGCACTCTGCATTCCTGAGGCACTCTGAACAGGTGCCTCAGAGGTGAAAAAATATGAGTGACTGGTCTGTCTCTCATGCTCTCTCTTCCTCCTACCTTATTCCAAGATCTTGCTAACTGGAACAACTGTGACCAAAGGTAAAAAAAACATGTGAGAACCTTGTTTTCAAGAAAATGTAACCCTTTATAACATACCATGATTCAGGTTCTTATCAAAAGCAGACTCCTGACAAATTACTCTTTTTTTATGCCAGTGTTAAAATACCAATGTCTATGGTATAAAAACATATTCCAGAGGTGCAGATCGAAAATATATTTCAGAAGACAGCTTTTCAACATATATATGTGATCCTCTCTAATGTTCACTATACTGTGGCTAGGGACTCACTTTTGTCTAATGCATCTCATCCAGAAAGTCTTTTGATCACATGCCATCAAAAGAAGGGTAAACCCCAACTACCTTTGACAGATTGCTCCAATGGTTATTCACTGTTACCCATAAATATGTAAGCAACATTTCAATATGGATTTACCTGGGCTCAACTTCTCTCTCTATTGATTCTTTCTGGCATTTTGGGGAATAACAGCCTGAAAAGTAATTTTTCTGCAGAAAAAAACCCCAACAACTTTCTTTGTTGTACAGAGACATAGTCTTGTATACACTTAATCTATGTGTACTTTATATTATAGTATGGGTATTTCTGCACCAAGATGCAAGGTCATGAAGCTTGTAAATAAAGGTCATCACCTTGTAAAAAAAGAAACAAACTCAACTTAAACTCAGTTCTTTAAAATTTTTGTGTGCATCTATTTTTCTAACCCTGAGCCAGACTATGCATCTCTTTGACCACAGGTAAAAATTTTTAACTCAGTAAGAGACTTGGACTGAGAGCTCTACAAAGTATTTGGGCAACGTTCTCTCGGGTATTGTATGTGACAGCAGGCAATGCCTTTCTTATTGCTCCCTCTACATTGTTCAAGGATACCATTTGCTCTTTTGCCACAGCCTGGAGAAATGGGGTGTTCACACTGATTGGATGCAGAATATAATCCTTGGCCATGGCCTGTGAACACTCTGACCTTTTGAAGACTATCACACTGTATTAGAGGCCAAGACTAAAATGCTTTACAGAAGTTTTCTAAGCCTATACAGCTCCCTTTATTGGTTGATTTTTGTAATCCCATTAAAAAATGAAACCTGTTTAGTTTGATGCAATTTGCTTTCCATGAGATAATGCTGAACATTCTTACGTATGCTCCTATCCTTCAACTCATTATCTGTAGAAATGTTTATTTATATTTTCATAGTATAGCCTAAGATAGATGGCATGCTGATCTATGTTTTCCCAAGTGACACAGCTTATATCTTTTTTAATACTGGTCTCCTTAATGTCTTCTGTGACACCTGCAACTTGTCCACAGCACATAGAAATTAGTTTACTTTTAACATCAGTGAGACAGAGGTCTCAGCCAACTCTTTAAGGGCTTCTGGGTGCAATTTATTCAGACTTTTCTAGTTTTATAACGTTTAGAATTTGCTCTTAGTAGAAGCTCCTCATTCACTGGATACCGCAACATGCTTCATCACTCTCTCATGGAGGGATTACCTCATCCTGCTTCCTTCCAAATGCAGAAAGAGAACTTTTATTGGACACACATGCCTTTGCTTATTTATGAAGTAAGATAAACCCCTTTGCCTACTAAGGGATCTAACCCATTGTTAAGATTGCCTTTGTTGGTAGTATAATGTTCAAATCCTTTCTTATTATCCTTAACATTACATAAAAGTCTGACTTTTACATGCTGTACTGTTATTGGGAAACCACTGCAGTGTACCATTTTTTATTGGGAAATTATTTCTGTCCTGACAGCCACTTAAGTTCATACCTCCATTCATGGCATCAATCCTTATTTTAATCTGATTGGGCCCGGTCAGCAGATTTCTGATCGCACTGAAGTCAAAAACACTTCGAAGGAGATTGAGGTAGATTTCCACAGAATCCACAATTTCCACTAGAAAAATTACACAGAAAAAAGTGACTACAGTTCATACATGGGAAAATCTCTCTTCTAACACAGTTCCACCAGTCATGTAACTCAACTGAAGTCAGAGCACACAACTCTACGTAACATGGATTTGCTCTGAAGCCCATAGAGGTAAAGTCAAAGACACCTCCTGCCCTTTAGCGTGGCGAGCATTAAGCCTGAAAAGATAGACAGTTTTGACTGCTAAAAAAACACACAGATAATGTAAGTTGACAGTTCCTATTTCACTGAGAACATTAAAGAGAGTACATTATATCAAAGTAAACTCTGTATATATCATTCACTAAGCCACTGAAAAACTTTCCAAGCTAAATAGGTTTATTCTCAGAGGATGAAGATGACCATGACAAATTGACATCAGACATTCTATTCTTCTGACATCAGTATCTATCTGCATCAAGAGAGACATACAGCCTATTCTTCTAAATTCTGGCACCAGGAATACCTGTGTCCAGTTTGCTGGCAACCTAACATTATACTTTTGTATTGTATATCACTGACTTAGGAAAGTAAGGCTCAGATACAACATCTTTTTTTCGTTAAGGTCTTGATAACTTGAATTTTAAATTCATAAGCAGAGCACTACTAGTTCTTTTGGATGGAAAACATTAAACTAAAACACATTTATGAAAATAAGTCCATCATAATGAAAGCAGTTACTAAACAACTGTCAAAAGTCATGATTCTCAGTCATCTTGGAATGTATTGCTCTTCCTGATTAAATTAAAAAGTATACATTATAAATATCTTTTCATCTGGTTAAATAAGTACCTTAAAATATTTAATTACAAGTTAAATTATTACTTAGAATGTCAGCCAGTTTTGCTCAAAAACACTAACTTTGCCCTAATGCTCTTCTTTCAGGTAACATGAAAATGACACAGACATTTTTTGAGCCTGAGAAGAACACTAGAATAGATTGTGACAATGTGCTTGAAGGAAGAAACAAAAAAAAGGCTCTCAAGGTTGAGAAACAATCTGTAAAACCTACTTGAAAATTAGTCAGGTCTATGGTATTTGTTGAAAGTCTCCAGCTTTCACTAAAATGATATTATTGCATATCTTCTATGCCCTGTTTTTAGCAGTATTTTAGTAGACTCTAAGCTTTACACATATGAACAAATGTGGCAACTCCAGCGGAGCTGCTCACACATGTTAAGATAAAGGATTAAAGTTTAAAAATTACTTTAGCTCCTGCCAAACCCAACTCAGTTGCTTCAACACCTGTGTAGGCTTGATTCACAGGAATTAGTTCAGACAACTGAAAAAGCAGAAGTTTTAAATACGTCAGATATTACCTTAAATTACTTTTTAAATTACTTGCATTCGTTCTGCACTTTCAACCTGCATTCAAATCTGTGTAAACTACGCTTACTTGTGCACTTATAGGCCAATTACGTTGCTTCAGCAGGGTTCCCTGGTAGCTCTCCTGTCTCAGGTTGATATATTGTTGGAAGACAGGATTGAGATATGTTTTTTTCTTAGAAAAACATACAGAAAAATTGCAACTATCTCTATGCACTTCTGTACTAATGTGGGGGAGGGATGTCTGATTTTTGTTTACAAACATACAATTAGGAGAGACTAAAAAGCTAAAAAAAACCCAAAATATAAAAATCTGGCAATTTTTTCATTCTGGAGTGGTACTAGAGCTGAATTTTCTTTGCTTTTTGTTTGCCTGAAAAACCTAAATATATTAATTACAATAAAATTTAAAAAAAAAAAAACACACAACCAAAACATAATTTAATGGGGTTTTTAATGAAAAACTTTACTTCTTAAAATGTAAAGTTTGGACAGAAAACAAACTACATTTATTTCTAGGGCATCAGGAATGAGCACAAGTTTTTGAGGTCACATGGAGTTTTACAGTATTTGAAATATATTAAATTATATTAAATTATCTATATCAAGTTAATATATAAAATATATATATGAAATATATATGAAATTTGAAATACATTTCAGAACCCCTTCCTTTGCTTTTGACTCTTTCAAGGAGATATCTAGGTTAGGTAATTTTAAATCAAGTGTAAGCATAAAAGTATTCACATGCTTAAAATTAAACATGTGCTTCAGCACTCCCTTTAGATTTGGACTCACTGGATGCATAGTGCCACAACTTTTCAGAAAGCATGAGCAAAGAGTGAATAAACTTAGATTCTCACACATTCCTGACAATTAGACTTTCATAAGCAAACCATTCCTAGTCCAAAAAGGTTTGTGTTTGGTGTTTAACTACTAGCAAGCATAAGCACATATATTTGGCAAAGACAGGTTTTTCCCTAAAGGAGGAGAAATTTAGATTAGATTTTCTAAAGAAATTCTTTACTGTGAGGGTGGTGAGGCACTGCAATAAGTTGCCCTGAGATGTTGTGGATGACCCAGCCCTGGCAGTGTGCAAGGCCAGGCTGCATGGAACTCTGAGTAACCTGTTCTAGTAGAAGATGTGCCTGCCCATGGCAGGGGTGGTTGGAACAAGATGATCTTTTAGGTACCTTCCAATAAAAAACCATTCTGTGATTCTATACTAACTTTAATAATTTTTAGTAAGGCATTTTGAAGAACTAAAGTTTTGTTTATATAATTACCCATTATAATTCTGCAGCAATACTAATATTTAGACTCAATGTATTTAGCATGCATAAAAGCAGACATTGCTACCTCGGAAAGGTTTGAATTTGTTCTCCAGATCAAATTCTTGTCTTCCCAGGCGTGATAAATCAACTCTGAGATCAGGACAAATTGCATATTCCTCCAAGGTTTTGCTGATTTGATAGATTTTTTCTGAAACCATATCTGGAGCAGGTCCTAAAAGAGAAAATAATGTGGTAGGTCATTTCTGTTAAATGAAGGTTCCTTACTTTAAAAGTAAGTGCTATAGCAAATATTTTTCAGAATATATTGGAGTTAGTACAGAATAAACACAAAGTACTACAATAAATAAGGTCTGTTCTTTCACTACAACACAAGCTTAAAACATTTTTTGAAAAATAAAACATGGAAATATAGTATGTTACACATCATATTTTGATTTACATAGAGTATTTAAATCAACCATTACCCAGGAGCAGGGAGGATGAGGGAACCAAAAAAAACCACAGCCATCTTTCTTTGAGTTTATTGCTCGAAGACTGTCTTTTTTTACTCTTCATAGAATCTCAACAAAGCTATTAAAGGAAAGCCTATCCTTCAGCAGCAGTTGTTTCATAGCACTTTCTGCAAATGCACACTTGTGAAGGTTCGTTAGTATGGTGGTTCATATTATTTCATAAGAAAAATTATCACTTTTAAAAGCCTTAACAGGCTTTTACAGTGGTGCTGTATTGCAGTTTTCCTTCAACAGATTAATGAAATCTATCTTTGTTGGAATTTGCTCAACAATTAGCAATCTGAACTTGAAATAATGACATCATTCAGAAATAGAAAATGCATCTTACTTGTAAATTACTTTCATTGCCAAAGCCTGAAAAATGGCTCTACTTTTAAAGATTTACTGTTAACCAAATAAAAGTTGTAGGCTTGATGAAAAATTATCACATTAATTATGCCATATGTAGTGCAAGAGTCAAGTCTAAGTTACAACAGAAGTCCTTTCTGGCTTATCTGACTCTTTATAGCTTGTATTAAAATCACAATTTCACTCTAAAAATTATTTCCTTTATTCTCTTTTATGCCTTCTCTCTCCTGTGCCAAAGTGCCTTTGAAGAGTTTTTTTCAGTGCTAATTTTCCATTCCTCTAGCAATGCTGCTATATGCAGTGCAGTTTTGCCACGTAAATTACTATGTTCCATCTCAGATGCAGTGTAGCAGATGGTCCAAGTCAATACAATAAGTAACAGTCACTTTGCTCTTCATTCAGCTTAGAATACAACTTCTTACTCATCTAATCGAAACCCATCCAAAGGGTGAGGACACGTTTCATTAGCTCCAGATCATCCTTGATAGATGGATATCTTGTTTATTGGTATTTCCAGCCAAGGAGATCCCACAGTGTCACTCTACATTTTCTTCTACAGCAATAGAAAAAAACCACTTCTGCTTGACCTGGATCTGCAAAATGGACTGAGAAATAATGTAGAGCAATGACAACCTTCCCTAGGAGCTTGTTGCTGTGTCTAGCCATTCTCTTACTACAATAGTCTTGCCTAATAATCAGCCCACATTTTCTCAGCTGTAACTTTAATTGCTTTTCATTATGATCTCAATGATTAGCACAAATACTTATACCTTGTGATTTTAGTTTGAGGAGTGTTTCATATATAAAGCTTAATAGCCTTTTTGAATTCTCTTTAAAAAGGCAAAGCACACTAAAAAGACTGCCCCACCAACTGTTTCCCATTTATCAAAGAGATTTTAGGTATATGTGGTGTTTTAAAGTTTATAGAGTGCTAATGCATCTAAAAGTTTGGCTCTGGTATGTGTCCGCTGTGACCCTGGCTTTCTCACTGGATGCCCTTATGGAGTCCCTCTAATCTCTCTGGGATTCAAGCCTATTCTGTTTATAAAATCCCATGAATTTAACCATGGATGTTTTTCCATTAAACAAGGGGCAAGGGAGAAGCACTCCCTTCTCAAGTTCACCCACTTCCAAAGTGGGGAAGGAAAGATTTTAAAAACAGTTTCAGTTCATTTTTTTCAGGTAGAAAACATTCTGTATGTATGAAGTATACAAGGTGTCAGCAACTGCCACCATAATGTTTTATGGGTGTACACAGATCTATAATATAAAACATACTGAATGTATAACATACCTACTTGCGTTAGCTTGTCAGTTTTGGAAAACAGGACGTTAGCTACATACCCAAATTCCACTATTCAGCGGTGGAACTTCAGTAGTTAAGATGCTACAACCCTCTCACTCGATAAGACCAGTTACTTCCTGGGTAAAATTAAGAAGTGCTTTCTTCCATACAAGACAATGAGTTATACTGCTTACAGTATTTCTGAAATTACGTGCTTTAGAGTAAATGCCAAGACAAGCAACACAAAATATGAGCAAAACAGAGCTCCCTTGTAAGTATCTTTATAAAAGGATCAGAACTGTTACAGTGATCTGGAAGACTACATAAAATACTGTAAAAACACGATAGCAAACCTCTTGTTTACAGAAATCTTACAGATACCACAAGGACTCCAGTAAGCATTTAACACTTATTGTACAGACCCATGCAGACAAATACACTCCTCTTACTGAAAAAAAAAGAAAAAAGAGACTCTTATGTTCTTCGCAGTTTTACCAGAGAAAGTGAAAAACACATAGTTAAAGGTACCTAGTTATCCTTGACAGTATATTTTCAGCATACCAAGATGCAATGCTGTAGTGTGTTACCAAACTCATACCTCCATTGGCAACTTCAAACTTGACTCCAAATTCTCCTCCAGGTCCCCCAGGACTGTGGCTAGCTGTTAGAATAATTCCACCAGCTGCTTTGATCTTTCGGATGATACAGGAAACAGCAGGTGTGGACAAGATGCCATTCTGTCCAATAACTAATCTGCCAATCTAGGTGGAAAAAAAAAGCCAAAGCACTCATTAATATATAAATTAATATTAATAATAATACACACATTAATATATAAACACACACATAGGGTATTTACCTACAGAATAGAAATGTAAAGTCCTAATGTGGAACATATTCTTTTGCAGAGAAATATACATACATGAGTTGGTTGCATGCTAATTTGGAGCACTGACAAAAAACATTGTATCCTGGCACATTTAACACCAGTGGCCTGTGTATTGGCAGTAAAGCAAGAGCACAGTCATGACAGTGATTTGCAAAGCTCCCAAGCATAGCACTGGGCTATGATCCTGCTATCAAACCTTTCCAAGCATCCCCACAAATCAGCAAATCTCCTCAGATACCAATATAGTTTAGGGCTGACTATGTGGATGCACTCTTCAGGTCTGGGGCTTCAACCAGCATGAAAGAGAACAGAAAGAGAATTGCTTTTCAAAGAGCAGCATTTCAGGGCAACCACAACTATCACTACACATTAGGACCGGCAGTCTCTTGCAGTTACATCTCTATTGCTAAGACACTCTTGGATGTCCTGCTCCATATAAAGCATTGCTCTTCCTTCAGCCATCAGTGATTCCTGGGCTATTCCAAATGAACAGGGTGTGTTTCCCAGGGCACAGCTGAGCAGGGAAGTTCCCACCACTCTTAAAGTAAAAAAAAACCGTTATAGGTGGCGTTATTAAACACTGACTCAATGTGTTTGGTATTATGTGCCGTTCCACTGCAAGGTTCCAATTTCAAAACCTTGCCTTCATCCCCTACACAGATACTACAGTTTCAGCTGAACATAAATAATTTAGAAGCAAATCAGAAATGTATTTGCAAAGAAATACAAAAGAGTTCCAATTTCTGGGAAACAGGCGGACACAAAAAAAATTGAGAGAAGAGGTTATTGTCACAGATGATAACTGATGCAGCTGCACATAGAGTTGAAAAGTGTATCGCTAATGTTCAGAGTTTTTTAATAACATCACTGTAAGAAACAATCCCACCCCCCACCACTACTGAGTAGTAGTTTCAGAAGGGGTAAGGAGTGGGTAGGGGGGGGCAGAAGGAAAGCCAGAACACTGAATTCTTCCTTCTCCTCATCTTAAAACAGACCGGGAGTTGAACTTCAGTTTTCATTCTCAAGTTTGAAGGACATTTGATAGCTCTCTGTGGCAAAGCAGCAGCACAGGAGGTGCTACTTCTCTCCTTTCCATAAAGAGCTGTTCCTTCACATACAGATGACCTTCCGGTCACTCATGTGAAGCACTTAATTACTCAGAAGTGCAGTTCCAAATAATTTCAGAAAAGCAAAGGATTAATACATTATTTATTCAGCCTGCTTTTGTGAACTATTTTAGTTTTTTAAAAATAGGATCTCTACAAAGAAATAATCAACTTCTAAAGTAAGCACAAGTTACTTTTTGAACTTAAATCTCACAAAGTACAGGCTATGGTCAGCCATTTCTCTTTCCCTGAGAAGAGAAAAATCTGCTTTCAAATTTAAAAAAATGCACAGAAAATGCATTCCATTAACTGAGATTTCTACCTCAAGATACAGTGATTGATTGTCCACCCAGTTTTCTTTTCACAGTTTTTGCAGATAATTTTGAAGCCTATGGATTGTTGCTGGGAAACAGGAGAGCTATCAAAATTATAAATACACTTCATGGAAAATCTTCAAGGTTCATTTGAATTGTTCTTATTACTATTAGAAAAATGTTTTGTTTCACTGTCTTTTTTTTTTCCCAGGTTGGAACAATTCCAAAGGGGGGGGGTGGATTTAAGAAACAAAAAAAAATTTATTATGGAAAGAAAAACATGATGAAAATAAATACTGAAAATGTTTGTTTTGAATATTGTCTCTCCCTTTTTTAAACTATGAAGCATGTAGAAAGCTAGAGCAATGACTCAATCTTCCAAATACAGCTGTCAGAAATGGGTGCCAGCTCTTAAAACAGCATTGTGTATGGGTAAGCAAAAGGAATATGACAGTGATAATATTTTACATCATGCTTGAAAACTGTAAAACTAAATCTATCTTGAGTACTTAAGTATAAATGCATTTATACTTGTTTATAGGCTTAGCACGAGCACATTTTCTGTACCTCTAAACTAGTGAGTTTAAGTTTTTGCCTTCATGCACATCAAAACTGTATTTTTAAAAGTTAATAGAATACTTAGATTACTCAATGCATAAATCACCTAGCACCAACCATATTTCATATTTCCCATTTCCAATTCAACAAGAGTTACACAAGCTAGTTTACCCATTTTTCTGGATGCCAAATATTTATATAAACATGACTAACTAGATTTGCCTTCAGCTTTTTTCAGAAGGTTATTATTTCTATACTACTTAGAAATATTATTTATTATACTAATTTCTATACTATAGAAATACTGAAATACTTAGTATTCTAAATTAAGGTTCTTGAAGTCAAATTACATGAATGATACACTGGTATTTTATTTGCAGCAACTACTATAAAGTTTCACCTTATATTAAGGTCTTCAGTGCTTTTACAGAACTCCCTGAGGACACTGAACACCTTAGACGTGTAAATGTGCTACCCATCTTCCTCTGCTTTCTTTGTTTTGGTGGCAAGAATGTAGAATGTAATATTCTCTTGACTCAGAAGCTCTTAATTTTGTCTCTGAACCAAATATTAAATGGACATTTAGTTAATTCTTTAATTAATTTAATTAGTATCAGATGTTACAGACTTCTTACAATCTGGGCTAAAACAGTAACCAAACATTATCCACACACTGACTCACAAATAAAGTTTCAGTAACATTGTTCCGAAAATGGTGGACAGTTTCATAGCGTGGAAAGATTATCTTTGGAATTCAAAAACTTACACGGCTACAAGATCACAGGCATGTAATGTCTCTTCTAATACTTTGTCCCTATGCCACGTTATATTTTGTCACTCTAGGTTTAGTAGCAACAGCAGAAACAAAGATCCTCAGCAAGTGGTTACAGCTGAAAGAATAAAATAACAAGTACTTTACAAGAACATTTTTATGCAATATTACTGCTTGCAGCTGTGCATTTTCAGACAATTCAGCTGATTGTCATGGAGTCACTTAATGCTTTTTTTAATTATTTTTCAAGTAATCTCTCATATGCCTCAGTCAATTATACTTGAGAGAACATGAAGCAAGCAAATTACATCCTGAACAACATGGAGTTGTGCCTTCCTACCTTTTAGTATAGTACCCTAAAGATGACTGAGTGCCACAATCAATGTAGAAGCAAATAAATCAATTTTCCTGGACACAGGTCCAGGAAGGGAAGTCAAGATTCACATGGAAGGCCATGGGAAGGAAAACAATATGGTATTATACAGAATACAACTGTAAAACTCAACTCTCTGTTATCTCAAACTTCTACAGCATTACTAGTAATACTCTGCAATCTCTAGCATGTCACGACTTTCTATATTCAGTGTATGATCTTTACCTTCTGATCTGCCACAGAGACTCACAGCAGCTTCTCATTTAAACCTATCTTAAACTTTGCATCAAAAATTAGATAGCCCATACAGTTGGTGGGTCTAACGGAATATTTGCATCTAATTCGCAGAGAAACTGTATTGCAGCTGCTGGAGCCTTCTACCTCAGTGCTTCCAGACATTAACACTCAAGGACACTACTACTGGCAGGACATAGGTGAAAAGGGCAATAGACCCTCAGATACTGTCCTACCACCATACTTTGTAAAACTGCTTGTTGCAACCCAGAATGGTACAAAACCTCTGTCTGCCTTCCTCACTCTGCCCCACCCTCCCATGACACGCAGTCCCTTACCCAAATGTGTTTGCTACAGCCCCAGTTCTGTGCCCCATTTAAGGGTGACCCTGATTAGCCACCTTCAGCTCTGAACAGAAAGATTTGTGGGCGCACGTGCTGCTTGTAACTATGGAGCACGGACCAGCCCATAGCTGCTGCCACCAGTGGAAACCTACACAGGCTATAGCTGTGGAACATGTTCCTTCAGGCCCGAGCTGGAGGGCATGAGCCAGTGGGACTGAGGATAAGAAGAAAGCAGGCCAAGCACTGGCAGCTGACTGGGAAGGGGACCTCATCTCATTCCTTGTACTGGAGCCTATGCCAATTGTGCTAGGCTGTTAGCGCGGGGGGGAATGTGGGATGGGTCACCAAGTTAGAACAAGAGGAACCTAGCAACTCTAAAGGGCAATACATTTATGGTTGATAATAGAAAGCCACTTTTATTTTTGTACTCAACAGGCACAACTAACAGTGACACTCAGTATGTGTCTCCCAGGAGGGAGATTCAAGTTCAGTTTATCAGCGATATGTGGCTATCCCTCTCCTGGCACTCAGGGTGGCTTAAGGTTTTCAATGCAGCTTCAAGGCTTCCACACATTTCATCCAATCCTATACCAGTTCACTTCTTTCCCTGTGATAGGGCCTACATGCCTTCTACTGACATTAACCTGATCGAAAGGGAAAGATCTTTGCCCTCGTGAGTATTTCCTTCTTCTACCCCGATTTACACAGCACAGCACTAAACAGTGCCATCAAGTAGGTTTAGTTATTTTCCCAGCAGGTGTATTTTAACAGCCAAAAACCAAAAGACACAAATAGTACTCATTAAATTAATGTGAGGCTTACACATTTACAGTGTGCTTGAGAGAAATGGAGGGCAAGCAGGGTGAAAATGTTAGAGAGGGAAAGAAGTATTAGAAGCTGGAAATGGGAAGCCTTTTCAGTATCAGTAACTCCCCACCAGCTGGCTTACCAAATTTGTGAGGACTGTGTCATTAGTAAGAGTATCACGAATAAATTCAGATATTTGTGGAAACTGTGAGCAGAAGAGTTTGGGAATTGGCTTCAGAAAACACTAGTGAGAAACTGTTTCCAAGAAACTTGCAGTAACTTAAGGAAGTGGAATCATTATTACAGCAAGGTGCCAGAAACATGACAAACTGGAACTCTCCTGAGGTCAAAAAGATATTCAAGGGAGACAGAGTAAAATGGGTAATGTGACAGAAGCAGCAGGAAGGAGGTAGTCTGATAGAAAAAATTAGTCAGCATAAGCTGTTTGAGAAGCTCCTGCTGTTCTAAATCCTAAATTTCTTTTGTTTCTCAGTCCTTGTGGTCACCCTGCAGCTGTAACCCACTCCTATAGCTCCTGCCAGCATGCAAGGACAGGCAAGGATCTCAGCCTCAGCAGGGCAGTTCTTGCTGCTGGACTCTTGCTTTAATTGTTGTTGCACTTTATCCCAGCTGTATTTCCATTGCCAATGTCCTCACTTTAACCAGTGTTCCCCTGACAGCCCTTCTCACACCCTGAGCCACGTAAACTCTGGCATCTGCACCAACTCCCTGTGTGAATGGCTATTTTGCACAAAGAAGGCAGCATGTAACATAAACAATCTCTCTGAAATCTCAAGTATCACTAAGCATCAGCTTGATGCTATTAGTGTGTTGAGAACACGCTTTAGGAATAATTTTAAAATGCTCATTATTTATATCAGACTGGCTAGTCTGTATAGCTTGTATGTGATAACAAATTAATTTAAAAATGTTCATTATTTATATCAGACTGGTTAGTCTGTATAGCTTGTATGTGATAACAAATTAACAGGAAAAATTTGGACACATATAGAGATTCCTTTCAAAGTTGAAAGATGGAGCTTTTGAAAAAAATTTAATTCCTTACCAAAAGAAGCCCTATAAAATCAGATCACTCCTTTTGCCAAATCTAAAGGATCAATTTAGCCATCATAACAAGAGACAGTAGCTTCAGCTCTGCTTTGAATTGGGAACTTCAAGCCTACATTATCTGGTATTTCCAGCTTTCTGTACATATATATCCACACATGAATGTGCATGTATCTAGCAGAAGACATCAGTTTTCTTCTCGAGTTCTTTCCTATTTTCAAAACTGCACAAGAGAAATCTGTATCCCATGAGGTCACAGAAGCTTCTGCAACTTCTGTCTTCTTACACTTTGTAGTTTGCAAGCTAACAACAGAAAAGAACGACTATTTTCTTAAAATGCAGCCAAAATGCTGAACTCGTCTTCCCTCAATAATACCATTTTCCATTAATATTTCTAAACTATGCGAAGCAGCAAACACGCTTCTGATACCTTTGTTTCCCAGGCACATATTTTTAATTCTTGCTACATTTTCTCTTCAGAGTGAACTCTATTTTTCAGCGCTCATTCCTTCCTCCTCCTAAAATAAAGCGAAGCGGCACGGTACGGCTAGCAGTCTCCTGAGGTTGTCATCATCCCCACCGTCAAACCCCGCCGGAGCCACCACGCACGCCAAAGCCCAGCAGAGCAGGGGACACACGAACCGGCACGGGGCTGGCTCGGGCAGGTGCCGGGCAGAGCGCCGAAACTGCCGGACGCGAAGTTCCTCCCGGTTTTATTTGTACATTGAGCGCTGTCCGGGTGACGACACTGGAAGGCTCTCCCCGTGCCCGGGGCTGCCCCGCGCCTCCCGCCGGGACCGCTGGTGCGGGCACCGCGCGGGTCCCGCTGAAGGGAGGGGGCCAAGGGCCAACACTTACCCCGTTAGCCGCGGCCATCTGAACGACGATCTCGATGGCCGTCTTGCTGAAGTACCTGCCGTCGCTGCCCACCACCATGGTGCAGCCCTGCCGGTCGCGAAGGTCGACGGAGGAGAGCAGGCTCTGCACGAAGTTGGGCAGGTAGTTGCGCTGGCTCTCGAAGAGCGCCGTGGGCCGGCGCAGCCCCCCGCCGCCCGTCGGCCGCTGGTCCTCGTAGGGTGCCGTCTGCACGGTCAGCACCGGGATGGGGGTCCGCTCCATGGCGGCCGCCGCCCGCCCTGCTGTGGCTCCGCTGGGGAGCGGCAGCCGTCGCGCAGGGTGCCGAGCCGGCGGAGAGGAGCCCACAGGCGTCTCCCCGGCGGGGGCGGGCCAGCGCAGCCCTCGGCGGCCCGCGGCGGGAGCCCGACGCCGCGGGGGAGCCGGGGCGGGAGCGGGGTGCGCGCCGCCCTTCCCCCGCCCGCCCCGCCGGGGCCCCTGCCGGCGTCTCGGCGCCCGTGAGGATGCCCGGGGCCCGACAGGCCGCTGCCATCGCCATGCGGCGGCCGCGGCCAAAAATAACCCTGGAAAGCGAAGCCGAGAGCAGCGTCTCCTGCCAGGGGTGTAATTGGAGGCAGCGAGGAGCGGGCGAGCCAGCGCCGCACACTTGCTCGGGGGGATCACGGTCTGTCAGCGCTGGGGCCGTCCCCGCCGACCCCCGCCGGCCGCCGCAGGAGCCGCCTACCTCCGGGCATGGAGAGGAGCCGGCGGCAAAGCTCAGATCATTGACATATGTGTTCATTCTGCTTTAATTAAATGCAGAGGTGGTGGCCCTAGTGATTGTGAAGATGCCTGACGTTTCCCTGTATAAAGGCTATGTTTACAGATGCCTGTAACTGTCAAACATCGGTTGAATTTTTCCGTCCAAAAGCTGTTTCCACGCTGCACCCACCAGGACAACCCTGTTGGCTGGAGAGTTGGAAAAAATAGTCATGTAACCTCGATGTGATTCTTGTGTTAAAGAAATCCCTGGTGTGGACCTGCATCTGAGCAGGCAAAAACAATTTTGTAAGGCATTTTTCTGTTCTCTGGGAAAGAGTGCTCAGAAATTGCTCGTAAGCCCAAAGGAGTGTCATGGCTCAACAAGACAACATGTTAGCTGTGTGACAGGAGGTGGCTGGGGAAACATGGGGTAAACTGATTTTGTCTCTTACACAAAGAGCTCGTTAGGACTCGGTGAGTGTCACCTGATGAATAGTAACCAGAGGAGCTCAGTCATGGTTTTAAGCCCTGCTTCTGCAGACTCTTTGGTGGTTCCTAGCAGATAGAGTTTGACAGTTTCTGATACAATTGTCTGCTACACATCTATCCCTTTGCCAGAACCACTGCTGTCACAATAGAACACTATGCGTGCTAGGGTAGGCAAGGCCTAACACTTTAATTTAAATAAATTAATCCACTGAAGCAGATACAGGAATTCTAGCTCCATTGACAAAATGCTTTTGTACAGGGCCATATACTCTCGCAGAGAACCAGAGCACATACAGGGAAGAGGTAATCTCTGTCTTTTGTTAGACCTCCTAGCCTGTAGTTGTGATTGTGGCTTCCTGCACTGATTCAGAATGCATTTTAAAAAGCAAAAGGAAACAAATCGACTCTGTGGAAATGCCAGATCTCATATTCATACTGTAAACAAGGCACAGCTATAGATGAGATTGCTTTATCAAAAAATTTTGGGCACTGCCAGCAGTGAAACCATGACATACAGTCTGCATTAGTGAAAGCTGAAATAGAATCAGATAACTGCTATCTACCACAGCAAATACCCAACAAGGAAACAGCAACAAAGATCAGAAACATTAGAAAGAACAAATTATAAAATCCAAATGCCAAATAAAGGAAAACATATGACCAAAGTAAGAAGAAATGCAATAATCTTTGAATAAAGAGTAGATTGTATTTTTCATATGTATTGGAGGAATGTGTTTATCGTTTGGAAGAAAATATATCCATTCGAATCAATTTTAAAAATTTTGCAAACATTCCCAAGGGACAATCAGCGAAAATTTTCCAGAACTGCTTGTCTCAACTCATATAATTTATAAATATTGCTGAAGAATAATGAAAAAGTGTGGTTTTACAGTCTTTTCAAGCATTGTCTTGACAAGTGCTCTACCAGAAGTATAATGGATTATTGTAATGAACACTGTAAATTTTTTAGTTCAGACTCAAGCTCTGCTTGAGATAAGTCCAAGCAAAAGTTTATGTGATTCCTCTTTCATTGTGATTCCTATAATACTTTGCAAAACTCAGTTTCATAAAGTCATGCTATTTCAGGAGGAGCTCAGATTTTGTATTAAAAGAAAATTACAAGCCTTCACAGTAGCAGTGCAAAGCATGAAAAAGTTAGTGTAGAGAGCCTAAACATTCTAGTACAAAAGCTGAAGAAAAAAAAATTCCTTACTTTTTAAAATAAATTCTACAACTTCCCAGTATCCATGGTAGCATTATGTTGATACATTTATCCATGTAAAAGTGCTTCAATTTTTCTTTTATATCAATGCAAATCCCACAAGCAGTTCTACTCTCAGCAAATTTCATTGAAAAGTGAAGGTCTCTGTAAATGGCCAGTACTGCAGTGCATTAAGTGATTACTGCTGTGTATCTCTAACAAATGACTAATTATCAATGTGGGATGATATTAAAAGTCTGGAATGTCTTCTTGGAAAACAACAGCTAAATATATTCTTCATATTACCATAGTGTGCTGTGAGTTAGTTTTTGAGAGGTTATTAAAATAAAAAATAACTTAATGTAGAGATAAGATACATGTTAAATTTGTTCCATTTCCAAGTAAAACAATTAGCTTTCTTACTGCTAGTTTTAGAAACTTGGTTTGACATATGCTGTCTAGTTCAGGAATATATGCACCCCTTACTTTGATTCTTAAAGCCTTTTAATTCTTGAGCCTTAAAATGTTTACCATAGCTCCTTTGTCTTGTGACAACATGGCAATGTTAATTACTTTAGGAGCTATAATTTTTATGTTTGCTTATCTTTAAAAAAAAAAAAAAAAAAAAAAAAAAGAAGCACTGTACTGATGTCTTTCTTTGTCCTGTGATGTCCAGTTTTTTCATGCACTGAACTGGGAATTGGGTTGTTGCCTGTGTTGACTCAAAGGAAAGAGTCCCATAGCAACAAAAATCCTTTTTAGCCACACAATTACTTCTGATTCAGTTGATCTGGTGACCTGAGGTGTCCCCTCTGCAAAATGGCAGAAGTTACTGGTGGATCTTCTTAAAGGTAGATTATGGAAGCCCAGCCCAGCTCTGATTTGATGCTAATATAATAGAACTTGCTGTGAACCTGAAGCTTACTTTCTGTTAAGGAAAAATATTTTGTATCAGCTTGCAAATGTTGCAGCAGAATTGAACCAGCGCCATTAACTAAGCAAGTTAACTAAGCAAGCTCCTTCAGTTTAACTTGGGCTCACATTCATCACCAGTATAATACCTGAGTTTTAGATGAAAACATATTTTTACAGTTGTTTCATGTAGAATGTCTTTCAGATAGAAATATGGATACTCAAAATTAATTCAGCTGTTCCCCATGGTGCCATATTTTGAAGTTCAAATTCTCATTCTGCCACTGAACAGGATATTCCAGTTTCTCTTATAGCGCAGTTACAATTTGAAGAATGGCATACACATACTATAAGATGAAGATTGTTAACCTAAACTATTGAAAAAAATATTTTGCAAAAAAGTTCTAAAAATAAAATAAAATAAAAATAAATATTGACTTGTCTAAACCCCTCCAAGAATTGCAGTTAATATATTGTTTTGCTAATAAAAGCAAAACCAGTTTTAAAACCCAGTGTTAGGTTTTGAGGCAGTTCCTACATGTGAATGCTTTGTTTGCAATGACTTTGTTTCAAAATGTAAATTACTTAGAAGTTAAAAAAAAAAAAAAAACTAAAAGAGAAAAATAAAATTGTAAAATTTGGAGATATTTTGACTGACTTGATCTGTCTTATCTTTCAGCTCTCAAATAAAAGTCTCTCTATGCAAGCCCTTCTATTATGGTTAGAAAAGGCAGAGAAATTGTATTTTACATTTTTATATGCAAGTTAGTTCCCTAGTAGTGAAGCTTTATTGAGAAGTATGATCTCATGGATTTCCATAGAACCAACTCAATTGGTTCTATGGAAATTGTACTTAGTCACCACTACAGTTATAAGTTTCTAATTACTATGAAATTGTTCTAAGGAACATTTTCACAGAAACTTACATGCACATTGATTTACAAAGCCCCAACAAGAAAAATTCCCTGAAAATGTATTTCTGATAACTGATAATTGATTTACTGCTATGTCAACATTAGTGCTATGTGATGTTGTATAAGCCAGGTCTGACTTACAAAATTGCCTGTCACTATTCATCCAATCAGGAGAAACAAGGAAGGAAGGAAGGGACTGAGGAAGGGAAACAGGATAATCATCAATCATTAACCTAACAGAAAAAGCAACTGTTGTAAAAAGAACATCCTCCAAAATGTCCAAAGACTGCAGAAAGTTTATTCAAATAATTTTGTGCATAGCAGAGAAATTCAAGACAAACATCCATTTCAAAACTACAACAATATGCTCACTCAAATTAGTGCTTTGGATATCTTAGAATCACTAACAATTTTTTCTTTTCCAGTGTTACTGACAGACCAGTCCCATCACTTTTGTTTTCAATAAGTCATTCCACGGAAATACTCAAGCAAGGGCATCGAATGCTAGGCCATGAGGAGTTATGCAAGCATATGAATGACAATCGTGATGGTTCTTGCCAACATGGGCAAGAAGCAGAATCTGAACATGGACCCAAGCAGTGGTCTCTGTCCCCACTCTAATCCTGCCACGAGTGGGCCAAGCAGCTGACTCTTTAATGTGTCTTAACAGCAGCTCGGAAAGGGAGCTGTATGGGAGAGGAACAAAATGTAATTCCCAAAGTAAGGTCTCTCTCCAATCATGCAAGGGGGTATGCAATGCTTTTCCTCTGAGTATGTCACCTCATTAGCAAGAGCACTGTTCTACTTATTTACACAGCTTGCTTAGATCCATCATCTGTTATAGATTCCTTGTAGATCAAGGAAAATAAAAACTGGTAAACTGAAGTCTTACTCCATGTGCTAGATTTGCTAGATGGCTATGTGGACCAAACCAGACACTGCTGTGCAATGGCTTTTTCTGGATGTCTGAACTCCAGGACATAGTGGATACGCTTTTGAACAAATTACAGCTTCTCATTAGGCAGCCCATCTGG